CTGTTATTCAATGCAAGTGCAAGATTGTCCGTGAAAGGTATCATTTGGGTTGTGCATGAACGTTCATTAACAAAACCGTGTTGTCGGTCATCCAACAGATCAGAACACGCAGCGTATAATGCAGTCTTTATGCACCTTTCAAAAACTTTCATTACAAGAGATGTTAACGAGATAGGCCTGTAGTTCTCAACCGAAGACTTATCGCCCTTTTTGTGCACTGGTACTACAAGTGCCAGCTTCCAATCAGGGGGTATGCATCCGCTCGAGCAAGACAGGTTAAATAAAACACTAAGTGGGTATGCAAGGCTTTGGGCACAGTTTTTGAGGACTCTCCCATGAATCCCATCAGGGCCAGGGGCCTTGTTAGGATTTAACTTTTTAAGAATCAACAGAACATCTTCTCTACTAAACACAAGACTTGAAAAACAATCATCACGAAAATCTATGTCAATGCCATAATCGCTCTCTTGAGAAAACTGCTCATAAAAATATTCGTTAAAAAGGGCAGCTTGATCAGATGGATTGTTTCGAAAGCGATTATGATATTTGACAGTTTCAGGGATCCTGGTTGACTTTGATTTAGATTTAACGTAGGTCCAGAATTTCTTGGAGATAAGAGCATCATCGGAGTCATCCTCAACACTGAGTCTCATTCTTTCGTCCATCAAATTTTTAAATTTTGTGCGAAATGCACGAAACTTTTGTTTATGAGACTCAGAGTTGCTCCCCTTATGCCTTATTCTCCATTTCTCCTTATTTCGTAGGAGACGATCACATTCGGAGTCGTACCATGGGGGCTGGAACTGAGACTTAATGGTCTTTTTAGGGATCCATCGGTCACAGGCTGCACCGAGAACTCCTCTGAATCGACTCCAGGCAAGATAAGGATCATTACACTCAAATATACTATCCCAATCGATGCTAAATAACTCAGAATTCAGGCCCCTAAAATTACCTTTACTATAATTAAAGATCTTTCTTTTAGGCTGCTTAATATACTTGGTCTTAATATCAATGTCAAATGTGATACAAAAGTGGTCGGACATACACATTTCGTTTTGATCTAAAACTTTAACATTCTTAATAAGGTTTTGAATGTTAGTGAACACAAGATCTAAGGTGTTGCCTGACTTGTGAGTAGGGGAGCTAATAAGTTGTGTATGTCCGAGGTCATCAGTGAGAAAATTTACAAAGCTAGAATGTAGCTGGCAAGATGACTGACCATCTGGCCAGGAAATCGAAGCCAAATTAAAGTCACCTACCAGAATGTGCCTTTGCAATTTTCTGGCAGATGCTAAAGTAACAAAATGTTTCTTGAAAGATTCAAAATTATCTAAGCCAAGCGTTCCTACTCTATAAAATGTTGATATACAAAAGTTTCTTCCACACTGAGTCTTAATTATGATGGATAATAATTCAGCTTGAACACTAACTTTAGAGAACTTTAGACTCGAGATATCAATGTCTGTTCTATGGGCAATCAGAACACCACCACCGTTTTTTCTGAATTTCTTGGGCTGGGTTGCATCCACTGGATGCGATCTTAAGGATCGGTCAAGCCTAAATACTTTGTATTTGTCAGGGAGCACCTCATTACTGAGAATGGAATTTTTCAGCCATGTCTCGTTTAGAATAATGATGTGAGGCTTATGTTTGTAGATATAACCATGGAATTCATGTATCTTGGTCATATTTAGTGGTGGTGTTCCTGATGCTAAATCGCGTGTATTTAGGAAACCATGGACATTATTGTAAACAACGGATAAATTTGGTCCAGGGTTCAGTAAGGAACAATTACAAATTACTATCAGGGAAATATTAAGGAGAGATAGAAAAACCAGACCACACCTAGACATGACCCCAAGCCAGCTGCTGGTTATACTGAAAAGTAACTTAACAGTCTGTTCCGGTGACATGGTAGGTGACAGTTTGGTTTTTGTGGTAGATAGCAATTTTACAGAAATTGCAGCTAAGGCTGTCCCAATGCCCCCCTCCCCCCTATACACAAGTTTAAAGTGTCTGAGAAAAATGGTACAAAATATTACCATAAAGTAAAGATTTATGGATGACCTCAAACATGGTACAGAGTGTATTTTAGGTTGTAGGGGAGCACCAGGGAGTATATTAGCATCGATAGTCAAAGAAAATATATACAAAATAACATAAAAATAAAATATACCCAATAGAGCACATAACATATGACGAGACAGAAGACAGGACAACAAATTTTCCCCGTTACCTCTATTACTTTTACTGATGATAACATACCTAGAAAACATACCAGTTGCAACACGGTGTTGTTGAGCCGATATTCCCATAAAACTTTAAAGTATATTATTGACAGAATTGTGTCTCGCCGTTGTGTTTTGTCAGGTATTGTGCTATAATATGAAGTAACATACATTATGCTATCACTTCGTTTGAATACATATAAATAACATCCAAATGATCAGATCCAATAGGATACTGATGCAGACAATGAAAAATTTAAATATTGAATTGAATTACCACATCAGTATCCCAATGGATTAAACCTCTTTGAGTGTATGATTCTGAGATAGAACTTTGCCAACACTGGCATCCCAGCCTTGGGGCTGGGATGAATATCATAAAAGCCCCTGTTGTCACATTTAGGAAATAATCTCTCGTTTCTGTTTCCATAGCGGTCTAAGAAAGCCCAAAAAACATCAAGGTAAAACAGTTTATGCCTAGAGCAGCGATCAAAGATCAAATTATTCATAGCACAAACATTGCCAGGGATTTTATCTTGTCCGTTGGGGTGGACTGGTGGAATAGCTTGTACAAAAACACGTGCATTTGGATAAAGTTTTTTTGCTGTCTTCATAAGGTCACTCACAGGGGTCTTGAGATGATTGACACCCTGGGTACAGTACCGGATGTCGTTGGCACCAAAGCTTAAGAACAGTTTCTTTACCTGCACAAGAGGGTTCTTTGTATGAAAGGCCTCAATAGATTTCTGTATAGCTGAGATCTTAAGCCCACCCTTAGCTATGTTGGTGACAGTTTCTTTACCTCTACTGAGGCGATCAGCGTCCAATCGGGCAGCAAAGGAGTCACCAGCAATGAGGATAATAGACTTCTGGTGTTTTTGAGAGTCTGTGATGGGAGCTTTTGGGGATACTTTATTAGGACTGTCGGATGTAGGAGAGGGAAGAATAGGAGATGAAGGGGAAGAGGAAGGTGTGGTTAACTTTCTGAAGGAGAGACTATACCTCCAACAAATTTCATTGTCAGAAGGTGCAACTCCTGGGGCAATCCTGTGCCTCATGACTTGCTGTGCACCAGGCTTCATGATGTTCAGTGTGCCATTGGTGGCAGGAAGGGTGAAGTCTGCGTTAATCAACTCTTGGGCTGGCCTTGACCTAGAGGCCCTAGTTGTGCGTTGTTCTACTTGGGTTGTATCGAGCACAAACTCAAGTGACCGCGGAGCCCCTATTGAGTAAGTGCAAATGGAGCTAGACTGTGATATTATTAGGTCTTCATCGTCTTTATGGAGGCTTAACTTAGCTTGCTGAGTGTCGTACCTAGTAACAAGGCAAGCATCCATGTTGTTGGTGGTGGAGGGGAGGTCATTAATAAGTCCCATCAACTTAAAGATGCTAGGGAAGTTGTTGATGGGATGTGGCTTGTTAACTATGTTACCAAAGCAGTAGTCTTCTGATGAAGGGCTTAGCCATAGGGTGTGGACTTTTTTAGATTTGCCTTCAAGATTCATTGAATCTAATTCTTCTGTGATTTTCTTGAATAGATTTTCATCCATTCCAGGGAGGACTGGAACGTGCTCTACGAGCGCATGTGGGCTATACGAGACATTTTGAACAGTAGTTTCCTTCTTCGTTTTCTTTTCCTTCTTCTTTTCATCTATACGTTCTATTTTAGAAGCAAGCTTTTTCTCTTTCAGACTGTCCAGGATACTCTGAGTAAGGAGGGTATGCATGTGTTGCTTTACTTCAAGAGATAAGTTTTGCAGTAAGGCGAGGAAGTTGGCGGGCAGTGTTGGCATCTTGTTGTGAAGTGTGGGAGGATCGGGAGGAGACTGGGTGATCCGGATAAGAGATCAACAGCAGGATGTTTCAGTGGCACCGTTGTAAACCCTAGCAATCTGGATCTCGTACCAGACCGCAGGAGCCCTGGTAGTACAAGACTACCAGGGCAATAGGAAGAAACGATTACCACCTCCACAACCTGCCATCTAACTCAGATCCATCACACCCAGGACACCGGCAGACTTTACTCCAACGGATTACTCATCGGTAGCCATGCCTAAAATTATTTGTTATATAGTAGTGTTGAAAGTATTAAAACACTTAGTTTGATTGGTAAGATGGCCTAGTTGATATTCGAATTCCGGAGAGCCACGAAACCCAGCCTCCTATTATGTATCACAAAAGAGAGACACCGCTAAATATCGATTCATCTCACTCTCAGTTTATGTCTAAATAATTGTTCCTCGCCCAGCTACGATATTATACTTTTTTTCTAATTTCTAATTTTCTTATTTTAATTTTCTACGATATATTGTACTATTGTACTGGTAGAGCAATATTATAATTATCTCTAATTATCTTATAGGCAGATGTTACCTGGGGACTCCAGGCTATTATAATTATGTTCATAATCATAGAGATTTGGCGGAATGACAGGTTGAGCGCCGCCCAGTAAAGGCAGATGTTGTCGATATAATTGTGGGTTTTCAAGGATCTATCAGTTTGCAGCTCATTTATTTCACCAGACAATCGTGAATTATCCGGAAAAGCAGCCCCTCTCCTGGATTACAAATAATCTGGCACTTAAGGAATAAGGATCTTCTAACTTATACTCATCATAATCCATCTATTATTCTTTTAGACACGTTGCGAGGTTATTATAGATAGTGGGGGCGGCCGGCGGAGCCTCCAATTACTTTTTCTATTGTCATTGACGTATTTCGTGGCCAAGGTGTGCTTGCTTTAAAATCTAAATTTTAAATCCTGACAAACCGTGTTAAAGTATTCTGGTCTATTCTGGCGGTACCTCTCTGCGATCTCCCTGGTTGTAACCACGCCTGCTATTGGGTGACCGTTGCCCATGGGTTTACCAATGGTAACAATATCCGGCACCACACCTGTGAGATATAATCCATCAATATCCGGCACCACACCTGTGAGATATAATGGTAACAATATCCTGCACCACACCTGTGAGATATAATGGTAACAATATCCAGCACCACACCTGTGAGATATAATGGTAACAATATCCGGCACCACACCTGTGAGATATAATGGTAACAATATCCGGCACCACACCTGTGAGATATAATCCATCAATATCCGGCACCACACCTGTGAGATATAATGGTAACAATATCCTGCACCACACCTGTGAGATATAATGGTAACAATATCCGGCACCACACCTGTGAGATATAATGGTAACAATATCCGGCACCACACCTGTGAGATATAATGGTAACAATATCCGGCACCACACCTGTGAGATATAATGGTAACAATATCCAGGCACCACACCTGTGAGATATAATGGTAACAATATCCGGCACCACACCTGTGAAATATAATCCATCAATATCCGGCACCACACCTGTGAGATATAATTAACAATATCCGGCACCACACCTGTGAGATATAATAACAATATCCGGCACCACACCTGTCAGATATAAGTAACAATATCCGGCACCACACCTGTGAGATATAATCCATCAATATCCGGCACCACACCTTGTGAGATATAATGGTAACAATATCCGGCACCACGCCTGTGAGATATAATCCATCAATATCCGGCACCACACCTGTGAGATATAATCCATCAAAAGAGGCAGAACAGTGAGCCATATCACGGCTCTAGCTATAATAAAGTTTATATTACTATCAGTGAATTAGAAACATTGTTTTTGGAGAGGTGTGGGCTTAAAGCGTCTCAGCTCTAGCCTTTAATCATTCTAATCTGATTACGAGCTGATTCAGATTGCACTTGCCACTTAATCACTCTACACTTCAATGTCGGGATTTTTCGGAAGTTGAAATCAGCTCGGATCACCATATTTCTGAACGCTGTTTTAGTATCACTCCAGATGACATAGGTTTAAAATTCTTCTCTGACGAGTGAAGAAGTAGTTAAAATTTCAAGTTAGGGCAAGGATTTTGGCAGATGCTTGGATTAGGGCGGGTTCAGGGTTTTGGGTTCTCCGTCAGCGGTCAGAGTCACGTCATACTGTCATTTTCTAAAAGTGGATCTTAAGGGGGCCGGGGGTATTCATCAAAAATCTCTCGAAATTGACTTTATAACTGTTTCTGATAGAGAGGAGTGATATCTATCAGCTACTTTTGGTCCCATGGAAAAATATTGCAGTTGCTAGTCGAAATTATCGCCGGTCAAAGGTCAGCGCTTATGTTTAATTGTATTGTACGAGTCTAAAAATCGAGTCTAAAAATTTAATCTATCTTCTCCTACATTTTTTTAGCAATCACCCTGAAATTTTGAAATACTAATAGGCCTCAGACACTTTTTTATTCGATTTTCAAGCCTGTCATTCCGCCGAATCTCTATATGTTTATGAACCTTATATATATAGCCTGGGGTCCCCAGATAAATCCTGAAACTAGTTTCAGGGTGATTGCTAAAAAAATGTAGAAGACAGATTTTATTAGACTCGATTTTTAGACTCGCGCAATACAATTACACATAAGCGCTGACCTTTGACCGGCGACAATTTCGGCTAGCAACAATATAATATTTTACATGGGACCAAAAACAGCTGAATGCTGATAGATATCACTCCCCTCTATCAGAAGAAACTATAAAATCAATATCGAGAGAATTTTGATGAAGACCCCCAGCCCCCTTAAGGCGTTAAATTTTACGAGTTTTAATCATTCGACGGAGAAATAAGTCAGATTGATTTCACGGCACCAATTTTTACGAGTAAATGCCTCGCATAACCTAGGAGAATGAACAGGTGGCTCGTTAAACCTTTTACAATTGTGCAGAATTTTTTATGGAATTAACCTAATGTTATTCGGTTCGAGCTGTCTGCTGTAAAACCGCTCAGTCCCTGAAATACCATCAAGTTCAACTAAACTGTCGACCCAAGCTCAGGAGATAATCAAAGGGTCATGTTCAATTCCAATATCCTCCCGGTATCCATTAGAGCATCAGGGAAACTCGCTGTATTGCAGTATAATTCAGTCAGTGCGCAAGTTAACTATATCTTAATAATTTGGTTTTCGGTTATGAGAATTTTGTCAGTTCGCGTCACATAATACCAAATTATGTCTGACAACATATATTCATGTGGTGTCAGTAATTATAGCCGCGATTATATATGTGTCAGACAGAGGTTTGTTAACCGTTTAGATTCTCGCAACGTTGATCCTGGTCTTGTCTGACTCATTATATTTATATGTGTGAAGTTTGATCGGTGAGGCTCACTTCAATTCTGGCAGGACATATTACATACTTTGCAGTTTTATTTATTTCCGAAGAATTTATTTATTTCCGAAGAATCACAAGAAATGGACTTTACAATTGTTACCTTGCTTTTCAAAGACCCACATGCCAGTACCGCATCGTCCAAACCCGACCTGTACCTCGTCAGCAATACACAGTCCCCCTGCTTTGTGGACTGCTCTGAAAAGACGGATTGTTTATGTTATCGTATCATTGTTTTTTAAATATTGTTAATGACCACACATAATTATTGCGGAGTTTACTCCGAAATAATTGTGTGGTTTACTAAATTTAGTAAGGTGCTAGTACGAGTTCTATTTTTACACTATTTTGTTTATAAGCATTTTCGCACAAATATGCAGATATACTGAACTTATCCATTTTCTTAACTTGGTGAAATTAAACGCACCACGCTTTATAATTCTGATAGATTATTTTACGCGTTTGAAATTAAGCGTCAAACCATATGACCGGGTATATGACTCGAGGGCGGAGGACACAACCGGGCGGACAATTGGGGTATTTTAACGGAGTACTTATACTAAGTACTACTTATACTAAATCTTGATGTTTCACCCCTTTTACTTACTTGTAAACTGTTTTAAGATAGTTGGGGGGTAACATTATTTGCCCACCGCAACTTATGGCGGATTCCCCGATGAATCCAGCAACCTGAAAGGTTTCAAGTCCATTATTTTGTTCATTGCAATATATTATGCAATTTAACAAATTAGCCCTTCGTGGACGATGCTAGCACCCTTTCCCCTGAATTACGTGTTATGCCAGATTGTCACTGATATAATCGATTTATAAAATACTATTTAAATAAGCCGGAACTTACCTCTTCAACTTAGTTGTAAGGTTTTGGTGTGGACTGTGGATAAGTCGACCAAAAAGCCGTTGCCGGTTATATGGTCGATGGTCTGCGATTGCGATGATACGGTAAAAACAAATGGAATTTTCCAATAAACCTCTTACCGTTATCGCCAACCGGCAACCATTAATGTCCAGAGTCCAGACTCCAGAATGGTCAGAAATTCAATATCTCAAGTATACTGTTTATTTATCTTTTAATTTTGTAAACTATAATTTTAAATTTATATACTCCTTTCACTATGAAAATTACTGGGACCTGGGTCGGCAAGATTGTTATTATATGTAGGTTTATTACTAAGTTACTTAAGTTAATTATTAAGTTGCTACTAGAAAGAGCTAACAAGAGCGTGTTTAATATTTTAATAATATCAGCTCGAAGATAATTGTCGTACTCACATTGACATGACCAGGTTTTGATTGAGTAATTGCTAATTAACTAGCAACAAGTATCTGAAAGAGTCAAACAGCCGACGTGTGTCGCCAAAAGATCAGCTACCATCACCTAACCAAGCTGCTGTTTAATGTCTAACTCTAATTCTAACCACAGTACTATAAGTTATAACTGACCTTGGCGCCTCTGTTATTGATATTTTGAACTAAGAGTTCAGCTTGTGCTCCGTACTTCTCCCCTGCTGTGTGCACGTCACGGTGTTGTCCTCTGTACGTGTCTGGTAGATCCATCTGAAATGAGGTGGTATTTGGGATTATTTAGGTATTTGGGATTATCTAGGTATTTGGGATTAAATAAATGTTTGGCCTTGGGATTATTTAAATATTTTTATTTAATTTGCTGGGTTTAGATCTTGTTTATATTTAATTTTAATAATTCATTGATCAAACATCAATTATTCATTCCAAACAGCTGAATTAGTCGGTTAATTCATCTATCTAAGACAGAAAGAATAAATAGGATAATTTGCCTGTTTTATATTCAACGGGCTGGACTGCATGAGATAAAGAATAGTGATCGTTTGATCGAACAGTTATTTGGTTTAAGTGGAAGTTTCTAGTTGCACAGTTTTACTTTTGAACGCCGTTCAAAATTCAAATTAGCATGATCAACTCTTTCCTCGTAGATACTGATTCGATTTTCTTGTCTCTGATTGACTGGTAAAATTCAGAGATCGGAGCCAAGTGAAAGTTGGAGTAGTTAAAGTTTTTAGTTGTACAGCTTTATTTTTGAACACCGTTCAAATTAACACCAACAGCTCTTTTCTGTTTTTATTTTCCCTTGAACTATTTCGAATAGCAGCACACAGACCACAGTTATCATTCTCTCGATACTGATTTGATTTGTTTGTCTCTGATTGTCTGATGAAACGCAGGGATTTTAGGCAAACTTTACGAATGATAGCGAAGTAAGGTTTCCTTAAATGCTTCTCAGTTCATTTTAATCAGACATATTTGATAAGTCACTCCAAAAATATGTATTTTCTGAGAATCAGGTATATTGTGAAATAGTTCATCAACAAAATGCAGGTGTTGTCATATTAGATAAGAACAATTATTAGGACTTGTTTTTGGTTGATAGAAATAATTTCCAATAGCATGGAGAATTTTAAAGCCATGACAGACAAACTCGAGAATGACAGTTGATTTTATAGGAGCTTACGAAGTCTTCAAATTTATCTTTGGAGTTTAATGAACACTGTCGTTTATTCCAAGATATTGATATGATTGAATACGAAATTTATTCATCCATGTCGTCACCTTCGCAATTCTGATTTTATGACAACTGACAAGAATCACGGGACGATACGACTAGCCACCTATAAGTGACCAGCAAGCTTGAAGATATCTTACTTGACGCAACTTCATTTTTGTGCAATAGTGCACAACCAAACTTCAAGTTAGGTAACTACCATTAGTTACCATTAGTTACCATTAGTTAGGTAACCATTAGTTTCACTTAATAATTAATATCACCTTGTTTATAGATATCTTATTTTAATCAGTTATTACAAATATTACAAATATTTGAACGCAGACATCCTTACGATAATATTAACAGACGAGAATATTACCAATATTAACCTATCATCGATTTTCTTTCTTCGACAGTAAAAAAAAGCATTCATCGTTTTGCCGTTAACACATTCAAAAATATCTGAACCGTTATGAATATCACCAGCAATGTAAAATATTTGCAATTTCATCTGACTACCGATTGTCCCTGCAAATACGAAGCCTCCATTTGTTGAATTAATCACGGATCTTAAAGGTTTATGACTCAATTGTATGATATTTAATTCTCATTGCCGTCTAGTCGAGCACCTGCAGCACATTTTACCTGGGTCCGCGGAAACAGGAAAAATCTCTGCAAATGCAACTTCCAAACATGGATTACTTTTACGCAGCTGCACGTTCAGAAAGTTTAAAGTTTATAAGCTTGGTAGTTAGGGTAGTAGAATCTTGATGTTAAACTGCAACTTTATAAAATATTTAACTGCTTCCTTTTTCCTTCAACCATTTAAAATTTTTAATCGAACCCACAAAATTTAAACCTCGTATTAGTACAAATTGGATTACTCGTGCAATGATGGGAGTCAAGAACTCATTACCATTTTTTTTCGATTGTCATTGTTCAGCATACCCTAATTATTAGAAATTATACTGTTGTCTTGCTCATTGTTAATGATCAGTGGACAGTGGACACCTCTGCATTTTAAATATGAGCTCCAACCCAGTAATTATAATTTTATTCCAGTTTTTCGGTTTCTATTATTAAAATGAATTTCTGAACTTAATAAAAATGAAATAAGTCAAACTCTCACCATCTGAACGAAATCAGGTTGTCCAATGCCTCTGGGGTGTCCAAACTTGTAGTTGCTAATTGTTATAGCGGACCTCGTGTGTCCGTGGTAACCACTGTAACGGAGTGTGTTATTAATTTTTAGTTAATTTAGTTAATTATTTTAATTTTAAATCACTATTATTACATTTGATGAGGATGTTTTAGATAAATAGTATATTTAATGTGGTTGGAATAGTTTTAATCCTCTCCAGGTCCAATGGTGGTTTCACTTGTATCAATCATAAAGGAGAATATGGGAGTGGTTAGGAGTTGCATCACCCTTCAGAGACAACAAACCGTAATTTCCATCACTGATCCTTGCAATTTACAATCAAAATTTGACGTTTAAGGATTTACGAATCAAATAATGATAACGGCGAATATTTACATGTCTGTGGAGAGAGGAAGTTGCTAGAAAGTATAATTTACGGAGGTCATTTTACGGTTTACCGTGAATAGTGATGGTGTTGCCGTGTTGTATGAGGTAATCGATATTTCTCATGTAAGTTTAGCCACGCTGCGAAGACGTTCTATGTCTACCCAATTAATGATATTGATTCAACCTTTTTTTGTTTTAACTAAATTGTACCCAACAATCAAGTGCTCTACGAGTATTTCTTTTGAAATTTAACTCTCTAAGTTCTTTGATGTATCTCAAAGTTAAATCCTCAGAGGTTAAATAATTGCTTTGATGACTTCCATCTATATCTGCCTCCCTGCTTATAAAGATATGGGTACATAATAGCAGACTTAAGGGATAAGAATTAAGAATGCAGGGGTTCAGTCATCCGATATATAAATGACCAAACATGGTTCATTCAAGGTCTAAATCCTAATCTCATAAACTCTGTCTGACAGCTTCCATAAAATCTCTCCGACAGTTCCTGTTCTTTAACTTATCAGTTAGAGCAGATTTCAAAGAAAGCAGAGGTGAATTGATCACATCTTCACACATGACCAAACATAGTCCTTCTAATTAATTAAACTACTTCGACAATTTTGTATCAGTTTTCTCTGACATTTCCTGTTCTTAAAATTAGTTCATAGTAAACGTTATAAACGAAAATGCAGGGTTATATTTATAAGATCACAGCACATGACCAAACATGGTCCATTTTAGCTGAAATCGACACAGTCAGAAAATTTCACAGCGGTTATGAAGTTCTTGATTACTGACCAAACCAGTGCGCCAATGGATCTTAAGGATATGTCGTATTCGCAGGTGTTTTCTATGGTTTACTTCTAATTACTCCAGTTCAGCAAGGGAAACAGCTCAACTGATACTGTAGTCGAGCATCACTGATACTGCTAATGCCTCATACACCCTGATTATGGTCTGAAGTGGTATTTATTACCTTAGATCGATCAACGTGATAAAAAATGTTGTTTGTTGAATCATTCATCCTGGCCGTTGGAGCATACAAAACTTTAAGTTTTCGCGATATTTGTCAGATGAGGTTTAAATTCTGTCGTAAAGTGCTGATCTACACATAACAGCGTGGCATTTTCCTATTAAGAGTGCAATGCCCTTGTGAGGGATTATTACTATTTTTATCATGTATTTTTAAAGAATAAAATTTGTCATTAGAACCACCCGGGCACCGTCTCGGTTTACAATCAATAGTGTTGATTACAGCCTCCTGTAAACTTATCAAGAAGGATAAGATAATTTGTTGCATCCAACAGCTTTGCTTTACCTTTGATGGTCGAATCTTGTTTTTATGAAATTTTAAAAATTCCTAAAAAACCAAAAGATGCTTTCTCTTTACCTTCTACTTGACACTCATTGATGATTGATGATTAATGCGGCTTATTGTTTATAAAACACTAACTAGTACTGTACCAGTATAGAGACTAATAATATTGAAACTGGTACAGAGACTGGTACAGAAAATGAGTGGTACATTCATGAAAATACCTCACCTGTCAACACAGATAAAGTCAGTAGCATCGTTCCACACTCTGCAAAGCTCAAGAGACAGCTCAGTAGCTTCAGATCTAAGGAGGCCAATGTTAGTCTTACATATTTACATATTTTTATCAAACACCTCAGTTTTGGGCATTTGGAAGTTGCTATAAGAGACAGAAGGCGGTGCACGAGACATCTCATTTTGATTAATCGGAATTATTGTGTGATGCAAAAAACTGTAACGCGCCAATATTTGACACATTTCCACGTCAATCGTGCACTGCTCTCCCACAAATAGCCACACTTTTCAGCTCAATATGCAAGAATGCATATTATGCATATCATGCATGCTTGTACTTTTAGTGTGTTACCTGCATGCTGGTCGTTGTTTTACCAACCTTAACGTTAACTTACCGTTCACATTCCAGATATCAGCTAGGCTTTATCACCAAAAAACCCGAGATCTTCTTCAAAAAGAGTCGCGAGCAGACATGTCAGGGACCTATCGGAGCGAGGTTACTAATCAGATACTAGTTGTCAGGCTGATTTTCAGTGTAACTCCCTCTCTCACTATAGTAGCCACTTTATAGCCACTTCAAACAGGTCAGTCTTATCTTTTATATTCTAACTATTCGGGGATCTACCCGGCGGTAGCTTTTTTGTTATCAGTAGTTAATGCGCAGAAAGGGTAATTGTAGTCAGTTATGAGTCAACACTCAACACTCAATTGTCAGGTTGGATTTTGTGGTCGAGCAATAGGGGCCTTAGTTTCGATAACTTAGCAAAGGAGGAAAACCAACTTAATGTACTAATAAACAGTGTTTTTGATATAGGTTGAAGCTACCGCCTATAAATATAATTTACTCCTAAAACTTGAGCTATTCTGGGTGGAGCACTGTTAGATAGAGATTCTAGGTTTTTGGCTCTATCACCCAGCACCCTCTGCCAGCTATCACATCAAGGTAGGAGGACTCTAGGAGGACGTTATACCCGGAGTTAACGAAGAAGACGGTATCAAGAGGAGCGGGGAAGAGGGAGGTAAGCTGCTGGGAGTAGGTGGAGTTAAGGTGGGAGAGGTAGCGACTGTTGGTGTTCAAGATACCCATCTGTTTGCATGCTGCTGTGACCACTTCCGGGTGGCAGTGTCCCACTGAAAATAGCGTAAAATTGTTAGATTGGAATAGAGATTTTAACTCGGTCAGGGAGGATAAGTAAACCCTTAAACCTTGGTTAAGTTTTAACTTTTTATACGTTTTGGGTGTTCCAGGATTGGTGGTTTAGATTGAAGTGGTAACTTTCTTTGCTCATTTAAGGCGCTGCATCATACTTTTCTGCGGTGCCACCAAGATACCATCCTGTATGAACATTGCATGTGGTTTCCTGTTATCAGCCGATCAATTGGTAGCCATGTGCCTGTTGGAAATGCCAGCTCACCAAAATGGATAATTGACCGTATGTCAATTATCCGGTGGTATGGTTCATGGTTGTCAGTTACCGAAGTTAAATGTTCCATGAACAGTCGGTAATCGACTGGGTGCCAGTGGCCTCTTGTCGAATATGAGACATTCTTTAATAGGTTGCATCTTTGACAAGTTCTCTTGAATTATTGCATTCTTTCTCAATTGAACTGCTCAGCAGTCAGCGCAATTTCGTTTAAATATAACGACTTTCTGCTTGAATATAATCACAGAAAGCTTGAGATGCAAATAGAGCTAGAAGTTTGTAGCCGCCAGATTATGGAATTTAAATCTTCGTGTTTGGCATACGATTTTAATTTTAATTTAATATATTATGTTCATATGCTCATTATTTTGATAGTTGTGTTGACTGCAGTTATTGTTGTATGTGAGACGGTTTTCCCAATTAAATACACTTTAAGTGTTTAACAACAGTGAGATCGATTGTCATTTATTCAACTCAAGTGGATTAACTGTTTTCCAGCGAAAGTCAAAATCACCGTACTAATATAAAAAAAGAATCCTTCGTTGAGATTGATTTCGACAAATCGCAAAGCCTCTTTATTACAATTTTCAATTTTCATTGATTTTGACAAAGTACAAAATCGGTATATACCATATAAGGAGTCGGGAAATCACACCCGAACATTGCATTGATCTATAAATATAAATAAGGTAATGTGACTTTATTTCACTTCGAACAGCAGTTACTAATTTATATTACTAAGAAAAGTTAACAAATATAACTAAGAATAGTTATCAGACACTGACCATGACAGACATTGTTGATGCAGTCCAAGTACTCGTTGTCTTCTTCGTCGTACATGTACTGTCCCTTTGCTCGCACGATTTGCAGTGGGTTGGGGTCGTAAAACAGGATACAGGCATTTCTGAAAGGATATATTTCTAAAAACTAAGATATTTTACTCGGTATTCAGATTCTCAGATTGACAAATTCGCTTAAATACTTCAACTGATAGTTTGTAATCGCCAACGTCATTAACTGCTAGCGATTTGATCGGGTATTCAGCTGCATCGTATTTCTGCTTGTCATTTTGACATATGGCTAAGTCGTTAAGTCCATCAAATCTATTAGTTAGTTCTTAAAACGTAGTGGTCGGCACAACTAATAATCATTTAACTTTAACGTAAGCGTTCGACTATTTGGATTTTATCATTTTGATAAGTCTATTTTTATATCCGTGACTCAAATTTCGAGGACTAAATCTTTAACTTTAACGCAAGCGTTCGACTATTTAAATTTTATCATTTTGATTCGTCTATTTTAATTTATACCGTGACTCAAATTTCGAGGGATAAATCTTTGATTGGTTCTAGTTCTAAAGCTTTATTTTCCCAGTTAACTATATTAATATACATGGTTTAAGTCTTAAACTATTTTCTTCCTAAGGTTGACTTGGAATCAATGTGGGATACTTTCAATCCATCTGTCTCACAGGTATATATGGTCATGAGTACATCCTCTGGAAAAACCTCGAAGACAGAAAGACAGACCTAGAAATCAATTAAAGTATTAGCGAAACGTGGAGGATTCAGGAACAGCTCAGCAGGATTTGGCACAGCCGCAAAATCACGACCCAAACCAAAATCGGATCCACAAAGCAGCTGTGTTGACTAAATAACTGCTTTATGGAAATATGGATTATGGAAATGAGGTATGAAATACTCAAATACTGCTCAGACAGCAGATGAAAGATTTGAGGTGCTCCATCAAAGATGCTAAGATGCTTGAAAATAATCCTGTAGAAGGTCTAGAAGCAGCCAGCAGGCCTCGCGAGATCTGCTGGTTATCAGGTGTCGACACGTACAATATGGCTAATGATGCTGCTGAACAGCAAGCAATAAATGAATAAACAAGGTTAATTAATCATTGGACGGGTGCCGTATGCAGGAACAAGGAGCTACTGTGTGGTCCACTCCAGCGAATAGGAGGACACCTTTTCAAGTGCAAGTAAGTACTATTTTATACCGCATGTCTTCGAATAGATACATTTTCTCACAAAAACCTCAAACTTTGATGAGGCTGATATCTTGATCGTAAGACTGACATTCATTTGATTAGTCCAGTTGTTCATATACAAGCTGATTGGTTGATCGCTGTAAAATAAAAAGGCACCTCTTTCAGTGGAGAGACTGAGATATACTTCACTGATGAAAATACTGCACTAGACTATAACAGTGAAGGTAAAAATAGAAGTCCGATACAAATTTGATAACGCTGGTTTGATTCAGAGCTTCTGTGTGGACTTTTTCCACATATTGATATAAAACTGGAGGAAAGAGTCTTATTTTTACTTTACTTTGTTATATTCCTAATTTCCTATACAAAAAATAAACTTTCAAATCGTGAAAAAAATCGTGAGAACTTACGCGACGTGCTTCTTTCGGAGCCTGTATATCTCATCTTTGCTTAAACTGCCGCCAAGCTTCTTCTCTTCTGTGTAACTGATATCTGAAACAATATGAATCAGACAACATACCACTATTTTCTTTGCTTTTTAAATGAGTTTCTGTAACTGACAACTAAAGTGACATTCTTTCATGAATATTCTTTTGTGTGAATATTCTTTTATGAGCATTCATTATCATTTAAATCAGTTTGTGATAGTTTAACATCGGAATTGGAGCCCCCGATATATTCAGCGCCCTTTCTTTTACTCCAGAACCGTTTATTGCCAAAGCAGAGCCATTAATTTGCTCATAGCCAAGTGTGAGTATTTTAATCAGACTTGAACGAAGCCTATCTGATGTATTTACAAATAGTAATACTAGTTCTGAGTACTACGTTAGAACACGACAAGTACACTTTGACTTATAATAGTAGGTCTTTTTCGGGCAGTAAAGCTTCAGTGTAATCTATCGCATTTCTTGTGGTAGGGAACACGCCTCCACTAATCCCAAAATGCCCTGTACGTGATATAAACTCCTAGTCCAGCTTCTGTTTACAGTTCTCATTAGAGGATTAAGCGCAGATCGAGATCCCCAGAGTCTGCGGCCGCGGCCCCTTCATCTATGCTTATTAAGGGTTGTACCCTCGATAACATCATTAATGTTACTCGATGAACGACTCCAGAGATGCAGCAGTTTCAAGTCAATCTAACTAGTTTGATTACCGTCTTATAACTTTACTGCCGCAAATAAGTAGAATTGCAGACAATTCTAAGAATTGTTTAGATTTACAAGGTGCTTAGCATTTTAACCGTCTGAACGTTATCTGCTGACCCATTGTCTGTTAAATATGAATAAAAGAATTCTGTCCAACATTGATCGAGGAATTCTCAGGTTAGACGGATATTGTTATGGATGATTTACCCCCAGATCACAGATATGTGATTGTGCTCATCAGCATATTGTATTCATGCCGGTCGTGAGTGCCGTGACTAACATTTATTCGTTGTCGCATCGACTTGTGTGGAGGCTATTCTAGATCCTTCATTTATTAGGTAGTCGTTGCCACTTTATTGATATTTTGCTAAGTAAAACGTCTCTTAACCGGGCCTCCCTCTATGCCGATCATTTCCTTCGAGACTTCGATGCTAAGTCGGAAAACAATTCAAAAATAGAATTGTCATCCCAATTGTCATAGCTTCCCTTCGTCGTGAAACTAAAATCAGCTTAATTTATTTGGTGACATTGCTGTCTGAGACTGACGGCTCGGAGAGGTTATGATGCGGGCGTGACGATCACTATTTTGCCGTATCTCATTATCGATCATTACGTTTGTAAAACTTACCGTTAAAGTACGTCAACACAGGATTATCAAATTCTTCGTTCGTTAGATATGATGTTAAGCCTCTAAAAGCTTGAAATTGCAAGAACATTAATTATTTGTCTGTTCGGGTAGGAAATATTTTAAGGGCAATATTTGTCCTACGGATTATCTTACTCTGACAATTGGATGAGGTTTAGTCAATGTACACGTAGACTGCCCTGCTGGAGGTTCCAGTCTATATTATTACTGTCTATAAGTATAAGTGAGTTGCTGCAGACAAGAGGGTAGCCTGCTGTTGGGGGATTGTCAGGAACTTTGTCGAGGAACAATCCTAGAGCTGACTTTAATAGTGAGAGATCTTTGAAAATGTTGACGAATTCTAGCAGTACTCAGTAGGTTCCAAAGAGTTCTCATACAAAGTTGTAGATTGGATTGAGCAATTAGTTTTTGAACTATTGTGAATTGTGATCCCAGTCGCGTTCATATCGGCAACCTTTATTTTCACTTTGATCGTCGATATAAGCTATTTTTAACTTCATTTAATGCCAAAATCTGTATAAGTATTCTTTGAAAGTTATATTTAACATGATTGAATTTTCTATCGGCATGATAGTCATTTATAAATAATATTAATAAGCTATTCAAATACCGATTGCTTCATCACTATTTAACCAAATAAAATCTCAGACGCTTAAACGAATTAAATATTCATTGGGCAAATTCACATGTCAAATTTGTTCTCCATGCAGGCGGCGAATTTTGGTATGAAGAATCAATTCATGTTTGCAGTCAGTTCATTATGTTATCTTCTAATTTCTTAGTGGTTAGAATTTAGACAAGTGCTAAATTAGCGTGTTTGATTGAAACAATTTTTCTCCGAGCAGTTCTTTCTGATGGAGCTGTACTTATTATTCATGAATAATAGTTATCATGGAAATAGTTAGTCTCAGATTATTATCAATAACTATCATCGCCTCATATTATTATCAGCAAAATCTACTAAACGGTGACTCCAAACATCATAACACGCCTAAAATTGAACACGGCCATATAAGCGAATATCTTCGTACTTGCTCTTGGAGTAAATTCTCGTGCAGCAGACACTGAGGGGGGGGGGGGGAAATCATAGAGTTTTTTAAATGCGCCTGAGGTCAAAACAGCGAAACATTCAGTTTCAACCATGCCTTTAAAAAAGTTTAAAGTTTATGGCAGGACTACCGAAAGCTGCATCATGTCCAAATTTTGTTAGCAGATGCTATGGGTATTAATGGCGAACATAACGCCGTAGGCGAAACGGTTTTGATGATTTTGCTTTTGCAAAAGGCTTAGCTGAGCAATTGGCACTAGAAATCATTTTCAAACACAGTTTCAAGAACGGTTCAATAATACGGTTCTAAATCCAGCAAGATTTTGGCTTTGCTGTGCCAATTTAGGGGTCGAACAGGATCGATAAAGTCCTGACAATTTTGAAAATATACCTACAGTAATTAGGTTTCAAAAAGGGTGCAAAGAGGAAGAATCTGGAATTTTTTTTGGAAAATTTGCTTTAAGAAATGAATTCTAGCAATGAGGAATATAAGTTTCGACTACACTTTAGCAGTAAAGCAATTTTGATAATGCAATGGCGGATAGGCCAAATTAGGCCAACAAATTGGGCCCATTTCCACGATTTTATGGGGGGGCCGGGGGGGTCGCCCCCGCCCCCCCCCTCTTCCTACACCCCTAGCGTAGAGAGTTCAGTATTCACTGTTATTCATTATGCACACTTATCATTTAGTATCGTATGACCATCTTTTAGAGTTGTGAGTTGTGACTTATATCCTATTATCTTATTACTGAACAAGTTTTAAAGACCCGAGAACTTAAAGTTGTATCGTCCCATTATTTCTGTATTTGGTTTGCAATTCTATCGCTCACATATTCGTGCGGGGCCTTACTACTCAACTATAATCAATAATAGTCTTTTCTTGCGAGAGTCTTTTCAGCTTATATTATGAAAACAAGTAAATGTGTCAGATAAGAAAGGGTAGCGTTCCTAAAGAATCAATATCTTCCCGGATACGGAATATGAGATACCTCCCTCTCCAGTGAGAGGCTGTCTCTCGACAGCCTAGAAAATATGGGTTTGCCAGCGAAACACGTGGGTAATGGCCACTGGCGGGTGGTATAAATATTTAATATCAGCTAAGCGTGCGTGAAATAGCGGCGCGCGCAATAATGTCGTGGTGAACAATAAAAAAGTGAAGTTACATTATATGTTCATTGCTGCGCCTTCCTGTTATGCAGGTGTGCAGTCCCAATCAGATGTGCAGTCGCAAACTGTTTTGAATTGCAAGGCCGAAAAGAAATGGTTTTAAACAATTAAATGAATTAAGAGTGATTTTTGTATATTATCAGTCTTCTAACTATCTCACTATATCGAAAGTTTGAAGAAAATCGTAGGGTTCTGGGTAAAATCTCCAGATATACGCAACAACTCTGCAACAGGTGCACACGCGCGTTTATTTTTCCAACTTCACCGATTTACATAGTTTATTTTCTTAATTTTTCGAAGTATAATTTTCAAAGTGTAATGTTTATTTATTAGCGCTGTCTCATTCGATTACGAAATCGGAAAAACGATATTGTAAGTCTAACTCATGACATTGTGAGTAAGAAACATCAGCGAATGAGACTCCTTTAGCAAATTTGCACTCTGAATCAGCGTGAAAATCACGTTTTGGTAAACACCGCCGAGTTGTGCCGTTATACCTCCACAAATGACCACTATGGAGTAAAATTATATTCGCCCTTCTAGTCGGCAATTTGTTGCAATAACTCAGTATCTCATATCACGTAACAATAACTTCAATAAGACCTCTGCTGTTTTGAAAAAACTGCGATCCATAGCTGTTATGGGCAATCAAAAATTTGAAAAGTACTTAACGTTATCATGATACATACTTGTGTTGTGTGCAGCGGTCTCATGCAGTTTACAGAGGCCCACAAGTTTATTTATCTTTAAATAGGTACATATTTATATTCTTATATCGTGTAAGCATATCCTACAATTTACTTATTCACTATCACGGAGCAATTCACTACCAATGAGCAATCTCACCTTCAAATCTGATCAAATGATCAGATTTGGCTCAGTCCACTCTTGAAGAAGCTCTACATAAGTCCCACGTGGTTCAACACTAATTAATTAGTAGTTCAGGTTTCTGGTTAATTTCTTGTGTTACCCTGGATTTACCATAACATAGCATATCGCATTCGTTCATATAGCGTTTACCCCACTATATCCCAGTATTTTCGCACTAGTACCCCACAGTGAACATGATATGTATCCTTCAGTTTGCAATTTTCTGTTCCCCAGAGGTAGTATACAGTTTCTATACAGCGGTTTAGACAGTTTACTTGTTATAAAAACATGTCCTGAATTACATCACTTAGTTTAATATTTAATCAGCTAACTCTATGCTGATTAAACATGTGCTTAAACATGTGATAATTTCGGTGGACAGAATATAAAATAACGATTAGATATTTGACATAATATCTAAATCTGAGTTTTATATAAATCTCGACCACCATAACTTGCCTATGTAGAATTACCCAGCTACCCGAGCAAAACTGGTATACGATGGGTTAAAATCTTCAGCTTAATAAACATTAATCAACATTTTAGTGAGGAAGTACTTTGTACTCCAAATCGAGATTCATTTCCGTATAAAGCAAGTGATCGTGCAAGAATCACT